CTCGCCCCGCCCATCCGCGATGGCGACGACGAGGACGAGGACGAGGACGAGGACGAGGACGACGACGACGACGACGACGACGACGACGAGTTCAACGTTTTCTGAGGTGTTCGACGATTCCCTTCGGTTCTCGAGCCTCCGGGTGCCCTCCAGTAGCTGCGCCTTGCAGGGGGCGTTCTGGGCGGCGCGCCCAGGGGGGCAGTGAGAAGGGGCGGGCCTTCTCAGAGGGCTCGGCAGTCCCCCGGCCTCCTGAGAAGTTCTCTGAGCCCGCCCCGGACGCAAGAAACCTCTCATAAGGCCCAAGGCCTTCCGAGAAGTCCCGCCGCTGAGAAGGCCTTCTCCTTCTAATTTCCCCCCGGGCGCGCCACTGAACTTGGTTTCGGGTCGTAACTCGGCTTTCCAGTGGCCGTTCGGGACGATCGAGGCACCCCCGGAACGCTCTCAGCAAGGCGCAGCCGCTGGAACGCATCCCGAGGACGGAAAGCCGCCAGGAGACGACGAAAACGCCCGAAAACTTCGAAGCCCAAACTACGAAACCCGAACCCCCCTCGCTCGCCGTCGACTGGCGGCGCCCCCATCGTCCGGAACGGCCGCCAGAGGTCCGAGCGCTATGGCCCGAGGCAGCGTGGGGGGGGGCCCGCGGAGGGAGGCCATCCGCGGAGAGGCCGACGGCGACAGCCCCCGGCCGAGCGGGCGACCGGCGCCGACGGCGCCGACGGCGACAGAGACGCCCAGGACCAAGGTCGACGAAGACCAAGACGACAAAGACAGGGACGAAAACGAAGGTGAAGACGAAGAGGAGCACGGAGACAAAGACACGAAGACGGAGGCGAAGGCACAAAGACGAAGACAGAGGCAAAGGCAGAGACAGAGACGAAGGCACGAAGTCGACGACAGAGACAAAGACAAAGGCAAGGACAAACACAAAGACGAAGACGAAGACGAAGACGAAGGCGGCTTCGCTTCGGAGGCTCTTGGGCGTTTATGGCGGCTCTCGCCGCCACGGCTGGCCGCAGCCCGAAAACGTGACCAAGATAGACCCTGGAAGGGGTCTGGGGACCGGTTTTGATCATACCTTGACTTCGGATCTGCCGTTCTTTGGGCGATGTCGCCAGCCCTGCTTTGCCGTCGCTGTTTCCGCCGGATCATTGCGTAAGTATTCGCACTCCTTTTCCGAGGCGGGAACGTCCGCCCCACTTTCTGGCACCACCTGGGGTGCATTCCCGACACCACTTTTGCAAGCCAAAACGTCAACCAGAGTACGGCTGATACGAGGTCAGGATATGCACGTGCACGCGGGCGTGAGCTCTCGACGTCGGCGCTGCTCGCATGGGGCGATGGCGAGGAACGCGGGGGCTGGGGGGACGACCGCCAGAGCCCCCATGAGCATCCATATCTGGTCTCACCAGCCGATTTACACCCCTAGATGGAATATTCCTCTTCCTATATTCTTATACACCCGGGCAGGGGGAAAACCAGACACCCCCCAAAAAAAACCGAACTCTCGGGATCTGGGGCTTTGGGACCCTCCAGACCGGCCTCGAAGCGGCCCCCCGGGCCTCGCCGGGAGTTTTGCCAAGCCTTCCCAGCACACCTGGGGCGATCAGGGGGGTCATCGGAGAAGTCCCAGACCCCCAAGACAGCACAAGAGCGCTCCAAGAGTGACCGACGTGACCTCAAGATGGCCCAAGAGGCCTCCAGGACGGCCCCAAAGAGGCTTCCAAGAGCACTCCCAAGAAGGCCCCAAGAGGCAAACATCATGGATTTCCTGTTGGTTTTTGTTGGATTTGGGGGTTCTCCTCTTTTCGGCTTCCCGACGCTCCAAGACGGTGGTCTTCTGGGCGTCCGAAGCCGCCTGGGAGGCTCCAAAATCGCCCCACCACCACTCGAAAGGGCTTCCAAGCAGTCCAAGAGAGCCCCAAAACGGCACAACACGGGTCCAAGATGGCCCTCAGAGAGCCCCGTGGCGGCCCAATATGGCCCCAAGACACCCTCCGAAGCATTCCATATCGTGACCCGGTCGTTCAGGGAGACCGCGGTTGGAGGCAGGGTGGCCCGAGAAAGCCCCCAGAGGCCCCCAGAATACGCCCAGGAAGCCTCCAGAAGGCCTTAAGAAAGCCTGAAACAACTTTCGTGAGGCCCTCAGAGGCTCTCCAACGAGGAGCCTCCGCAAAAAAGAGCTGAGGAGGATGGGGAGAATGCGCAGGGTACAAGACTGCAGTGGCGCTTCGCGCCATGCACCTTGGTCACTGAAGCTTGGTATGCAGGCGGAATAGCAGGCAGGTCAACCCGACAATTTAGCGATAACTCCTTGATGCCTTTTCTGGCATCGCCGCTATAATCTTATTATTCGTTATCCTTCCTCCATGCTTCTTGGTCCTCATTTTCGCCATACCCTACGCATTCCCCCCATCCTCCTCAGCTCTTTTTTGCGGAGGCTCCTCCTTGGAGAGCTTGTGGGGGCTTCACGAAAGTTGATCTCACGACGTTGTCGATGCTTTTCCCCAGCATCAAGGGGGCGAATGTACCCCCAGCCCACCAGGGAAGGAGCCGCCAGGAGACGACCTGGTGATCACCCCCCGGAACTTCCGCGCCGGCCGTCGCCTCGGGAAGCGGAAGCTGAGGCAGAAACGGCCGCGCACGGGCCGTATGTGAATCCCTCGCCGCATCTACGCGCGCGTCGCGGCGCGAAGCAGGGGGAGCGGGAAGGCGATTGCGCGTTCTGCGACGCGGCCTGCGCCCTGTGAGGCGCCCTGCCACGAGACGGCAGGAAAGTGCGAAGCAGGGCGCCATGTGAGACGCCCTGCGACGCAATACGCCCTGTGCGGCGCCCTGCCAACGGACGGCAGGCACTCGGCCCCGCGGGGACGTGACCCCCCGAACCTTAGCCCAGCGGCACAGTAGGCGCCGACGAAGCCGGGTAAGGCCGCCTGCGGACCATTGCCAGCACAGTAGGCACTGGCAATGCTGATCGTGCCCCTGATGTCCGAAGCATCTGCGTCTCTAGATCGCCCATTATCCGAAAAGTTTCGCCTTCCTCCTAATAGGATCAATCTCACGACGTTGTCGATGCTTTTCCCCAGCATCAAGGGGGCGAATGTACCCCCAGCCCACCAGGGAAGGAGCCGCCAGGAGACGACCTGGTGATCACCCCTCGAAGCAGGCCCCCTTGAGGCGGTGTTCCGCGAAGCGGTGTGTGTTGGGAGCCGGCGGTTTTTTTTTCCTTGCGGGCCTCCGAGCGAGCGCGCGGATGCCGTCTTCTCTCGCAAGCGTTTGGTCGGCCGGTCCGTCGTCTGCTCTGCAGAAGAGGCTGCTAGGCTATCGACGAAACGCTGCATTAGCGTATCTGGGGATGTGTCGGCGTACGTATGACGCATGACGTCCTCCGAATTCCACCCACCTTGCCGTTGGACCACGTGCGGGGGAATCTTTGCTACGTGCGTGAACCATTCTGTTCCGCCTCTACGAAACGAATGCGTGCTAGCGGCTGGGTCCTTAAAGTGTGACGAAACCGCCTTGCGCCACGATTCCGCGCTAACAGGCTGGAGTTGGGAACCTGTCGTGGTGCAGAATAGGAAAGGCACGCGAGCTGCCGTCGCGGCTTTCCAATCCATCCAATATTGTAGGAATTTCGCCGGGGATAGCCCAGCAATAACCTTGAACGGAATGAAACACCATTGGCCTTTGCCACACGGGTCGTTCTCCTGTTTCCCGATGAAACAACACGCGCACGAGGCTTTAAAATGCACGTCCTGAACGCGGAGGTTGATCGCCCCCGAAACGCGGCGCAAGCCGAAAAAGCAAAACGACGCGAAAGCTGCATCCCTCCGCCCAGCCGGCGTGCCCGTCGCCGCCTTGGCCGTGCAAAACAGCGCCCACTCTTCAACACTAATCGCACGTTTGTGGTACGATGCGTGGGATGCTCTCTTTTTCAGGCCTCGCCAAAAATGCAAAGCCCGATCGTCCCAGCAATCGTCGAAGACCTGGCTGTAGTTGTTGCTCTGGTGCCACGCTCTGACGGCTGCTTTGTTGAGGCGCATGGTTTGCCATGCCATGCCGCCCATGCTGGCGAACAGGAACATGAGCTGATCCGGGGAATCCAACGGGAGGATGTTGGAATCGACCTGCTGTTCGAAGCCGTGAACGTGCACGGACAACGCTCGGCTGCACGTCCGGATCGTGCTTTGCTCCCACCTGTCTCGCAGGATGTCTTGCGCGGTGTCCATGAGCGCGGCCCGTGCGGACAATGCCCCTGTCTGCGTGGATGTTAACAGAACGTCGCCCCGAACCGGCGCGAACTGGAGGGCCACGTCGCCCGCGGCAGGGGCGCCGACAAGTGCCCGCGGTTCTCTGGTCGCGGGGCGGGCCAGCAAGGCAGGCGCATCCAAGGCCCTGGGTCGAGGCCGGACGGCCCACCGACGATCAGGCAACGGTGCTTAGAGCAACTCAACACCCCATGGCGCCGGAGAGTTTGGCTGGCCAGACAGTGGCGCGCTCAACAGGTGCATGTCAAGGTCTTGAGCCGAGACGGCTGCAGGGGCATAACAGTTGCTTGTGCGGGGTGCTGGGTGCGCCAGGTGTGCCGGGTGTGCCGGGTGCGCTCGGCGCCGGGTGCGCCGGGTGTCCCGGGTGCACTCGGCGCCGGGTGCCCGGCCGCCGGGTGTGCCGGGTGTGCCGGTTATGCCGGGTGCGCTCGGCGCCGGGTGCGCCGGGTGTCCCGGGTGCACTCGGCGCCGGGTGCTGGGCCGCCGGGTGCGCCGGGTGCGCCGGGTGCGCCGGGTGCACTCGGCGCCGGGTGCGCTCGGCGCCGGGTGTGCCGGGTGTGCCGGGTGCGCTCGGCGCCGGGTGCGCCGGGTGTCCCGGGTGCAATCGGCGCCGGGTGCCCGGCCGCCGGGTGTGCCGGGTGTGCCGGGTGTGCCGGGTGCGCTCGGCGCCGGGTGCGCCGGGTGTCCCGGGTGCACTCGGCGCCGGGTGCTGGGCCGCCGGGTGCGCCGGGTGCG